GCCTGGAAATCTATAAAGCAGCTTTGTGACAATGCCCATTGTAAAAAGCGCTATGCAAATAAAACTGAATTGAATTGAATTGTGTAGGGAAACAGCCTGCCTGGGAAAGCCTGTACAGATTTATCTTTGTGACACCGCAGGGAAGAATTAATGTGCTATTGCTGATCACCACTAGAGGGCCCTAAATACCAGCAATTACAGCCCTCTAACTTTCTTTCCTGACAGCTCCATGAAAATAATTTTCACTTCTGAACCTCTAATGTCCCTAATTGAGAGACCTGTATTAAATGCTCATTTGATTGACTAAATGGTGCCTCATAGAGCCTCGCTGAAAGCTCCATACCCTGAGGCGCACAATTTTTTCCTCTAACTAGAGAAAAAATGTTTTTTTTTCTCAACCGTGCTTTATGGCTCACTCCTAAAATATTTAAACGATTACCTCACCCACTTATTGATTTTACACCGGCACTTTATCTTCTTTGGAGATATCAGATAGTAAACTATTGGACTGCGCACTCCCCAATACCCCGCATTGTCTCAGCTCACTAAAAGGCTGACAACCCACAGTGGGGAGTCTTGTGCGCTACCATTGTTGTCAAGTAGTTTGTGTCTGTTTTGGATCCAGCAGAGTCTGTCTGTTCCTTCTGCAGCCCTGTGTGAATTTATGTAGTTTTAATGTGTGTTTTTGTCGTTTTAGTACAGTATGTGAATATAATGTTAATGTAAACATGTTCAGGTGAAATGCAAGTTATATTGTAGTTCAACCTTGTTAAACGTACTGTGCTCATTGAACTGGAGGGGGTCTGAGACTATGTGTCCCGAGAGTAAAAACCTGGAGAGCAAGTATCATGACAGCACTATGGAAAGATCCGGAGTATATGGATCGACTAGTGAGCTCGGAGTGGGGTGAGTTTAAATTCAATAGACAGGAGGAAAAGGGGAAAGATTATTAGGAAAAGAGAGAAAAAGAAGGGACTAGATTAGGATTGGAAAAATGTCTGGGTAGTTGAACATAGTACGAGGCATTCACATTCATTCTCAAAACACTTGGGCTCTGCGGATCGCAGTGAAGAGGCAGCGGGTTTCTCTCATCAGAGGCTGTGAGTGAACCTGATGATTTACAGCTGAGAACAGTGGACACAGGATACAGATTATTCTTACCAGACCGTTTGATTTATTGTACTCAGGCCTCAATCTATTGTATTGCCTTACGGTGGACAAAACTCTTTTTTCTGAATTTTCCTTTACCATACTGTATTAACAAACCATTTCTTCCAAAAAATTGAAAAACATTTAAGTGAAATCATTACATTTGGGGAATTCATCTCTCCTCTCAACAAGCTCACCAACGATTTTTTTTTTGGTTTAAGAGACTCAGTGCATTCCTTTTTATAGTATTTTTTTTTTGTTTGTTGTTGCTCTAACAGTAAGTTTTATATGTTGTAACTTTCAATAAGCACACTTTAAGGAACCAACACTGTTTACTGTAATTTAAAGAATAGTTTACAACAACTTTGCAAAGGGCAGTACAGTCTCCTTGCTTACAACAAGAATAACAAGAATTCAGTAGGTGGATAACTAACAGATTTGGTTCCCAGGTCAAATGACCTTGGATCTTCAGGTCAGGATAACCTACAGCTACTACAAAATATGATGTTAAGTTTGAGAAATTTCACAGTGTAACATGGTCTATATGTGTTTTTGAAGTTTCAATTTAAAAAAAAGGTAATTATTTAGAGGTTATTTGTTCATTGTAATATCCTGCACAGTAAAAGATAAAACTTTGCACACAAACGTTGTGAAGTCATCTTGTGATCACTGGTAGAATTACAGCTGAAATTTCTGAAATGTCTAATGTAGTCACAAATTGATGGCTGTTTCCAAATTAGAAGTTTCATTTTTTGCGCAATTGACTGAAGTGGGCCACAACATCGGCTACATCAAGAACCTAGGTGATCCCATGTATTATATACTGTATGAATTTAATGTTATACCTCTGGTTATGGTTACACTTCTGTGCTGAGAAACAGGCACACTTTCACTGCTATAGCACCTGCTCCTGTCTGACTCCCATGTTGAGTCTCTTCTCTAACCTTAGTCTGGCCTTCAGCAGCCCTGCTGTTGTGTTGAGGGTGAGTTATGTCAATAAGAAGAGATTTGTACCCAGTGCACTTTCTGCTGGGCCGGGTCCAACTCCTCTTCTACAACAGCAGGATAAACACAGTCTCAGGTGGAGGGTCTGTAGCGGAGAGTGTTTGAGGGGTTGGTGAAGAGCAGGATTTCTCTTGAATTCCTCTAGTAAAACTGTACTCTAGAGTACTCTCACTCTGAGATGGATAATGACATGATGTTGTATATTACTGCTGAGCTGGGTGTTGGAGTGAAGACTTGGGCAGAAAGATGTGGATGAGCTGTGCAGATGTTCAGCTGTGCTCCTGTCTTGTTGTCTACAGGATGGAGAGATGTAAACTAACAGAGAGATGTTGTGAAGATCTGGCCTCTGCTCTGCAGTCTCAACACTCCAGTCTGACAGAACTGTATCTGAGTGACAATAACCTGGGGTATTCAGGAGTGAAACTGCTGTCTGCAGCTCTGAGGGATCCCAACTGTAAATTAACAACACTGTGGTAAGTGAACACTGGTGATTTCTTTGTTTTTTATTGTTTTATGTAGATATTCTGAAACGCACAACATTCACTTTTTCACATGCATCAAAAAGTAACATCTAGGAAGTACAAAACAAGAAAGAAAGAGGGCATCTAGAAAGACAAAAAAACTCCTACGCAACTTTATACAAGTTCTTGTCTCTGGCTTCTTTGTTAATATCTTATTACTGAGAGACTCGACATGCAA